ATAGAAACTACTCCTGGACCATGGAAACTACACCTAGACCATGGAAACTACACCTAGAACATGGAAACTACACCTGGACCATATAAATTACACCTGGACCATAGAAACTACACATGGGCCATAGAAACTAGACACGGTCCATAGAAACTAGACACGGTCCATATAAACTAGACATGGACCATAGAAACTACACCTGTACCATAGAAACTACACATGGACCATAGAAACTACACATGGTCCATAGAAACTAGACATGGTCCATAGAAACTACACCTGGACCATAGAAACTACACCTGGACCATATAAACTACACATGGACCATAGAAACTACACCTGGACCATAGAAACTAGACATGGTCCATAGAAACTATACTTGGACCATCGAAATTACACCTGGACCATGGAAACTACACCTGGACTATAGAAACTACACCTGGACCACAGAAACTACACCTGGACCACATAAACTACACCTGGACCATGGAAACTACACCTGGACAATAGAAATTACACCTGGACCATAGGAACTACACATGGACCATAGAAACTAGACATGGTCCATAGAAACTACACCTGGACCACATAAACTACACCTGGACCATGGAAACTACACCTGGACCAGAGAAACTACACCTGGACCATGGAAACTACACTTGGACCGGCCTTTCTGGGTCTTTCCTGTCCTCTCTGTCCCCAGTCAGTCGAGGCAGATGACCGTCTCTCTTGAGCCTGGCTCTCATGGAGGTTTCTTCCTGTTCAAAGGGAGGTTTTCATTTCCACTGTCGCCTGTGTGCTGCTGAGGATGGAAGATCGTGACAAAGTGAAGATTCAACTTAATTTGCTGGCTTCCTTAGATAACTTTTACTCATTTGTATTTTTAATGAATGTTTTTGTACAGTGCCCAGAGATGACTTTTGTTGTGAATCGGGGCTGTATAATTAAAATGATTTGAATTGAAAGAAATGGATTTATTATAGGTTTTGTCCATGCTACACCGTGGAAGCTTCATGTGATTGTAACCAATGACAAACCCTGCTTAGAAGTATTTATTAATGTCTGAATTGTTCAATTTTATTGATGTAGCAGAACTGCACAAGCCACAAAAATCCACTTTGAACTTGGTTATAAACATTAATAATTAAAATATCTGGTGCTCAGTTTTACTGGACGATGTTATACTCCATCAATATTATTAAATAATATTTTATGGCTTCAACTATAAATTTTCCCTTCAACTTGTACATCTACATTGTGCACAATTAAAAAGCCACCCCCTTAACTTTGACATTTTGATACATCATTTTATGTTAAATGTTAAAAGCTGAATAGAACCATTACTGTCTGTCAGTGGAGAACTTCAGGTGTAGCAGCAGCAAAGTAACAAGTAAATCAAACAATGCAGATTCACACAGAAGGTAGAAAAAAACATAATATGAACGAGACACAGTAAGGACACATGTTCAGCATAAGAAATAAATAAGAAACAAATGCTGTGCAGCTATTAAAAATAGCATAAACAAACAAGTAAAAACACACACATTAAACTACCGTATAAAGTCAGGTCTAAGGGCACAGGTGGAAGAGAACTTGGAGAGGTGGAGGTATGCACTTGAAAGAAGAGGAATGAAAGTCAGCCGTAGTAAGACACAGCACAAGTGTGTGAATGAGAGGGAGGCCGGTGGAACAGTGAGGCTACAAGGAGCAGAGGTCATAAAGGTGCAGGACTTCAAGGACTTGGGGTCCACTGTCCAGGGAAATGGAGAGTGTGGTAAAGAAGTGAAGAAGAGAGTCCAGGCAGGATGGAGTGGATGGAGAAAAGTTTCAGGAGTGATTTGTGACAAAAAGGTGTCAGCAAAGGTCAAAGGAAAAGTTTACAAGACAGCAGTGAGACCAGCTGTGTTGTATGGTCTGGAGACAGAGACATGGACAAAAAGACAGGAGACAGAACTGGAAGTGGCAGAAATGAAGATGTTGAGGTTCTCCTTAGGAGTGACAAGGTTGGATAAGAACGAGATCACCAGAGGTACAGCCCAGGTTGAAGAACTGGGAGATAAATTTAGGGAGGCCAGACAGAGATGGTTTGGACATGTCAAGAGGAGGGACTGTGGGTTTATTGGTAGAAGGATGTTAGAAAAGGGCAGCACGGTGGCGCAACTGGTAGAGCTGCTGCCTCTCAGCGAGCAGGTCCTTGGTTCAAACCCCGGTCCGGGGGCCTTTCTGGGTGGAGTTTGCATGTTCTCTCCGTGCATGCGTGGGTTTTCTCCGGGTACTCCGGTTTCCTCCCACAGTCCAAAAACATGCATGTTAGGCTGATTGGTAACTCTAAATTGTCCCTAGGTGTGAGTGAGAGAGTGAATGGTTGTTTGTCTCGTTTGTCTCTATGTGTCCCTGTGATGGACTTGCGACCTGTCCAGGGTGTACCCCGCCCCTCGCACAGTGATTGATGGACATGGGCACCGGCGACCCCCGTGACCCAAAATGGAATAAGCGGGTAAAGATAATGGATGGATGGATGGATGTTAGAAAAGACAAAGAGGAGATGTATGGATGCAGTTAGAGAGGACATGAAGGTAGTTGGAGTGAGGACAGAGGATGCAGAGGACAGAGTGAGGTGGAGGAGGATAACTTGCTGTGGCGACCCCTGAAGAGGGAAAAGACGAAAGAAGAAGATAAAGTCAGGTCTAAAATATTTGCTAACTTTTACATCAGAAGTTTTTTATAGATGTAATCATTATTTTGTACAAATGAAAATACACAACTGACCTTTTTTTTTTCTTCTGAACTTTATTTACTGACACAGGATTTAAACAGAATCAACAAATTCTTGTGAGGTTGTTGTGGCTCCAGTTGACCACCAGATGTCTCCATCACTGAAGCCTTGAAGCTTTTTGGACACAACAGCCTCAGCGCTTCATGACGCTTCAGTGCCCATCACTAGCCTTTGGTTAAATTGATAATATCTACAGACAAACTATTTAACTGGATCACTGATACAGTTGTGTAATGTTTATTGTTGTCTGTACTTTATATATTCTGTCTGGAACAGGTCTCTCTTGTACATGAGTCCTCATGGCTCAGTGAGACTAATCTGTATAAATAAAGGTTGAATGAAAACAATTTGTTTTGTACCAACTTTTTTCTGTTAGGGTTTCTTTCCTTTCTTTGTCCTGAAACCGTGTACCGGTAAATATTTTATTCAAGGTTACGTGGATCCAACGCGGCAGCATAAATAATATATTAAAGAGACCGGAGCTGCGAGAAGGACAGAGCTGCATGTTTTAAAGTTTCGGTTAATAAGAGTTTCACAGGTTTGTGACCAACTGAACTTCTTGACACATTCTTTTTTGTACTTTCTATCCACATATGGGGGATATGTGCAGGAACCTCAAACATGTCAGAAATCTGATCTGAATCTGTACACCTTCTGCAGGCAAGTTTAACTAACTGCACTCTTTAATAATGCTCGAACAATAATTAAATTATTAGTTATAATGACACTTCCACTGTTACGCTCGTGAATCCTGGTTTGTTCGGCTCATTCTGCAGACAGGATGTCAAAGAACAAACAGCTAAAAGGACGAAAACTACAAACATGCCCCCCTCTTTTTACAGAACTGCTGGACATTCCTCACAGGACTGCAAATCCAGAACAGACCCGATCGGGACAGAGGGAACTCTCAAATATTTGAATAACGTCTCCAGGAAGCTGCAGGCAAAAACAACGCAGCTAGGAGGAAACCGGATCACAGCTGATCCCTCTGTTGTGGTGTTTTTTTTTTAAAGCTGGTTAACATTTATGAAGTATCTGACCACAAGATAACCAAAAGCTTTCCTCCCCCCGCCCCTCAGGGCCACATCCTCTGCTCCTCTGTCACATGTTGTCTTTGGAGGACTGTATCATAAATGTATTTTTATTTTTAACAACAGAAATGACAAGGCACTGCAGCAGTGATGTGAACGATCATCAAGAGCGGCGCATAAAAAAATTTGACAAAGGGTTGAGATTTATTTACCTGGGCGTAGTCTTTCTCTACAGCCGCCCTCTTTTGACTGAAAGTCCTGAAGGGAAAAAGAATAAAATGTGAAAAACAATTTAGAAATAACAACATTAATAAAAAATGTACACAAGTGGGTCGAACCTGATTCTGGTCCCATTTATACAAAAATGATGACATTGACAGAAGTGACAGTTTCCACTTCAGGGAAACTAAAATACAAATTCGGTACCATGCAGGAAAAAACAAGAACCCTCTAACAAAATAAAACCATCTCCTCCATCTTCAGAGGCAGCACAAAAAAGGTTATAAACTGCACTAACAGGTTTTAAGATTTGTTTCAGTTTGTCCATGTAGCCAACCGATCCATTTGTTTGAAACGCGTTAACGTAAAATTGTATTCAAGATGCAGGATTTGTATTTAATTACAATTGATCAATCTTAGCATGACACTTGTCAAAAGGTTTTTCCCCAAATGTTGAACTTTTTCCTTAGATTACGTTCACACTGCAGGCCTTAATGTTCAATTACAATTTCTTGCTCATATTTGATATTTTGTCGTGGTCGTTCACGTTATAATTTAAATGCAACCTCAGTCAGACTCCAGTATGACACTTGATGGAACGTCACCCACAGCACGCTGTGTTTACAGAAGTACATATGTATGCTACACATTAGCATATGTATGCTACACGTTAGCATGTGTATGCTACACGTTAGCATATGTATGCTACACGTTAGCATATGTATGCTACACGTTAGCATATGTATGCTACACGTTAGCATGTGTATGTCAGTTATGAAGTTGTGAAATCAGAGGCAGTAAATGATCCGACATGCTTGTTCGGCCCAGTGTTTACACTTGATCTTGCCTCTTGTTGGCTCCTCTGGTGCAGAATGGGAGACGTACTGAAAGTGAAACTAAGATAAGATTAGAACTTTATTGATCCTGTAGGAAACAAACTCAAGCATCACGTTAGGATCGACACGACGTTTGTATCATATGTTGCTTTGGACTTGCAGTCATCCAGGACACAAATTAAATATCACAGACGCAGCAAGTGGACTTCTGTTCTGTAGCTGAAGAGGTCAGAGTTGTAAGATTTAAACTGCATGAAGTTGGTATCAATATTATCAATGTTTGGATCAATCCACATGCCCCGACTTTAAGGACTTAAAAGTCAGATGAAATGCGACGGGACAGTTCAGACGGCAGTAACTTTGAAAAACATTAAACATGTATCTTTAGTACCACATATGACAAAGACCTGGGTCGGATTTGAAAAATATATATTTTCATTTGTCACATTTAGACCATCATAAAAAACTGTTATGGGTTGCACATGGGCTAAAGTGTTGGAATTAGACCACAGTTTCCTCTTGCTCACTTTATTCTTCCTCTGATGCTCAGTCTGTTTGTTTGTAATGACACAGTCACTAAAAAAAGTCCTGACTGAACCGTCTGCGTCAGATTTACAGAAACTATTTCATCCCGAGTTCCTTTTCTGGGATCATTTTTGCCTGGATTTACTCATCCAAAAGTTCCCTTCCAAATGTTTTCACCAGATGAGCGGCTCATCTGGTTTCATAAACATGAGAGCAGATCATAAAATGTGCAGAGAAATATGATCTGTGAAAGCCATTTTTGATCCCGGTTCTTAATAGTTTCGGGTTCGTTTATGTAAACAGGATAATGACAACTCGAGTCAGGCTCATAGAAGTCTAAGAAAAGAACCATGAGACTTTTCTGTAGAAGAATCACTCCCATCAGAGCCATGGGAAAAAACTGCAGCAAAATCATCATTAAGTCATTAAACACGTCAAGACTTGGCTGCCATGCTCCACCCTGACTAAACAATTTGCCCCACTTCCTGGGAACTTCCTCCTCTTCCTCTTCTCCACATTTCCAACGCTCCCTCTCTTACAAAGACCCCCGCTGTCACTTCCTGTCATTTTTCCGAGCAGAGCTTTTGCTGACAAACATTTGCAGTTTCCAGTTTGCTGAATCATTTCTGGTCCCTGCGAGTTGTGCGCCGGTGGAGCTGAACGTGGTTTCTGGTGAGGTGAAGTTACTGAGCCTCCCACAGCGAACCATTCAGGGCAGCCAGAACATCTGGCAGCTCTCTGTGACCTTAACTTCCAGCTGTTAAGAGATTCAGAGCTCCGGCACAAACCACAGACAAGAAGTGGGGAGCCAGTAAGCTGTCAACTCAACCCAACACCAAAGGCAGAAAACAAAACCTAAAGCTTTGGTTAAAATACCTTCACAAGAACCCGGAGCTTTGCTGCCGGTCTGCGCACAAGGCCTCACTTTAAAGTAAAATGCTTTGATTCTTGGCTTTGAGTTGTTAATATCTGCTTTAATCCAGGTTTAATCCACACATCATTTGAAAACTTTTCACTTCTGCCAAACTGATTTTTTTAAAGAATTTTCAGGATTTTTATTTGTAGAAAGTTATTTTTAACATCGGCACAAACATTTATTTTTATTACCCGATGCTGACCAAAAATATAAAATAATATTTCTTAAACCACTGGATGAACGTCGACAACTGATCAACTTTTGTAGAACATTTTGTCTGAACACAGAAAACAAAAGAACAGCTGTAATGTGGCCAACTTTAAAGATATTCTGCTGGATGTGGTTGTTGTGAGTCAATAAAAATAACTTTTCCTTTTTGGATCCAATAGAACTTTAATCCACCATGCTCATCTCCGCTCAACTACACAGACACCACCGAAAAAGAGTGTAAACCACATTTCCATGTGCTACAGGCATGACAGTGCCCCCTAGCGGATTGGCATGCAAACTAAACAAAACAAAGGAGTAACAGTTGTAGCTGAGAGTCATTCCTATCACGTACACCAAGTGTTACTCAATGAACAAGATCTACAGCTGTTGGGAGTCCACCCTGTTTGTCTGTTAGCAAAATATCCCATGAAATGAACTCTCACATTCGCAAGTGATTAACTTTTGAAGCCAATTTAATTGGAGACAGTTGCCGCAGCTAATCAACATTAGCCATGACAATAATGGCTACAACTCAGGTAGTGGTAATAGCTGAGAGTCATTCAAAACAACACTCTGAGTGTAACGTCGTCTCTGGCATGAAAGGCAGCAGGTGATATCTTTTAGGGATGCTAGGCCAGGCCTTTATTTATTGCCTGCTTTTGAATTCCAGTTCAATGTTTGTATGCAAAAATTATTTGTGACATAACAGTAACCTATAATCTTTGGGAGGTTCAGGAACTCGACAAAGAAATGTTTACCTATGGGAGAGAAAGGTGCACCATGCTAGTCACGTGAATAAATGAAAATTGTTTAAAGTCAGTAACTTTACCTGAACTGTTTGTTAAGTGTTAATGAGCAAACAAAACTATTCTCCCCAACGTGTATTACTTTATTTTCACTATATGGTAATATGGCTTTAACTTTTCTTGATCAACTACAACCAAACCCATGATTTACTTCAAGCTGCCCTCACTCTTATGTAAAACATTACAAACATTACAATGATTATCTACAAACCGGATTCCAAAAAAGTTGGGACACTAAACAAATTGTGAATAAAAACTGAATGCAATGATGTGGAGGTGCCAACATCTAATATTTTATTCAGAATAGAACACAAATCACAGATCAAAAGTTTAAACTGAGAGAATGTATCATTTTAAGGGAAAAATCTGTTGCTTCTAAATTTCATGGCGTCAACAAATCCCAAAAAAGTTGGGACAAGTCCATTTTTACCACTGTGTGGCATCCCCCCTTCTTCTTACAACACTCAACAGACGTCTGGGGACAGAGGAGACCAGTTTCTCAAGTTTAGAAATAGGAATGCTCTCCCATTCATGTCTAATACAGGCCTCTAACTGTTCAATCGTCTTGGGCCTTCTTTGTCGCACCTTCCTCTTTATGATGCGCCAAATGTTTTCTATAGGTGAAAGATCTGGACTGCAGGCTGGCCATTTCAGTACCCGGATCCTTCTCCTACGTAGCCATGATGTTGTGATTGCTGCAGAATGTGGTCTGGCATTATCGTGTTGAAAAATGCAGGGTCTTCCCTGAAAGAGATGACGTCTAGATGGGAGCATATGTTGTTCTAGAACCTGAACATAGTTCTCTGCATTAATGGTGCCTTTCCAGACATGCAAGCTGCACATGCCACAAGTGCTCATGCAACCCCATACCATCAGTGATGCAGGCTTCTGAACGGAGCGTTGATAACAACTTGGGCTATCCTTGTCCTCTCTGGTCCGGATGACATGGCGTCCCAGTGTTCCATAAAGAACTTAAAGTCGTGACTCATCTGACCACAGAACAGTCTTCCATTTTGCCACACTCCATTTTAAATGACCCCTGGCCCAGTGCAAACGTCTGAGCTTGTGGAGCTTGCTTAGAAATGGCTTCCTCTTTGCACTGTAGAGTTTCAGCTGGCAACGGTGGATGGCACGGTGGATTGTGTTCATTGACAATGCTTTCTGTAAGTATTCCTGAGCCCATTCTGTTATTTCCTTGACAGTGGCATTCCTGTTTGAGGTGCAGTGACGTTTAAGGGCCCGGAGATCACGAGCATCCAGTAGAGTTTTACGGCCTTGACCCTTACGCACATCGATTGTTCCAGATTCTCTGAATCTTTTGATGATGTTATGCACGGTTGATGATGATAACTTAAAAGTCTTTGCTATTTTACGCTGGGTAACACCATTCTGGTATTGCTGCTCTATCTTTCTGCACAACAATGGTGGAATTGGTGATCCTCTTACCATCTTGGCTTCTGAGAGACACTGACACTCTGAGAAGCTCTTTTTACACCCATTCATCTTGTCAATTGACCTAATTAGTGTTAATTGGTCTTCCAGCTGTTCGTTATATGCTCAATTTCCTTTTTTCAGCCACTTATTGCTACTTGTCCCAACTTTTTTGGGATTTGTTGACACTGTGAAATTTTGAATCAACATATTTTTCCTTTAAAATGTTACATTTACTCAGATTAAACTTTTGATCTGTCATCTATCTTATATTAAGAATAAAATATTGACATTTGCCATCTCCACACCATTGCATTCAGTTTTTATTCACAATTTGTTTAGTGTCCCAACTTTTTTGGAATCCGGTTTGTACAATAACCAACAGAACTGGTTTAGAATTTGGTTTTGAGTTTCTACTAGAGTCCAAAATACAGGTGTGATCAGGAAATTTACTGGAACAACTCTCGTGTTGGAAGATGAAGTTAACTGATTTTACAAACTATACTAAAGACCAAACAAAACAGAACAGGACGAGCAACAGAGGGAGGAAGAATGGATGATTTATAGAAGACTAATTACTTCTTGGTTGAGGTGAAAAACTTCCTGAATCTTTCCCGTCTAGTCTAAGCAACAGAAGACCTTGGAAGCCAGTTTCAGACCATCTGGAAGTCAGCTCAGATACTTCAACACGAGTATGTACAAATATCAATTATGGTAAAGACAGGAGCAAAGCCACGTTTGAGCTTATCCATCTGCTCGTTTGTAAACATGACACTGAAAATTAGTCACAAAACACAAATGGTGGTTTACTACGAGAAGTAAATCAGGACACTTGTTATCATAGAGCACCATCATCCAACAAAACAGCTCCAACTGAAGTTTAGTTTTTAGAACAACATTCAAGTAACACAACTCTGACTCAGAACAACTAATGATACAAAAATGTGTTTTTTAGACTAACACAATTTTCTCTGATTCGCCATGATTTTTACAGACAAAGAAAAAGTGGCATCGCTAAAAGTCATAAACTGCAAAATAAATAAATAAAATAGGCCTTTTAAAAGACAAGAGAAAAGTTGTATTTTTTCCTTTAGGAGTGTCATATGTAAAATGTGAATTTCCCTATGACATGTTGGTGAATTTACAGTAAAAAGAACACATTTAACCAAAAGCTGCACAGATAAAACCAGTATGTCCGCCTGGTGGGTGCGTTTACCTCAGATCCTCCAGCAGCTCACACTCTGTCTGGTGTTTGATCTGTAACTGGCTCATCTGCTCGGCCTGAGTGTGTTTCAGCTCCTGAGTGAGTCTTACCTGAAGAACAAACAAACCAAGATGAGGAAGAAGTTCTGTAGGAGGCAACGGTCAAGTTCTTGCAGTGGCGAACCATGGAGCAGCTTAAAAAGTCTCCAAACACACGAGAAAAGTAGCGATTTGTCGCTAGTCAAGGCTAGGGGCTCGCTAAAGTCTCCAAGCTGGCAACACAGAGAATTTACAAATACAGCTGTGGTTCATCCAGTGACGTTGATCCACGGGCCAATCAACGGCTGCAGTTAGCTGAGGTCAAATCGTTTGTAACAACTGCTGAGGCGGGTCCAAAAAGCGAGCAGGAACAGGGAACAGAGACACAACTGGCCGATGTCGAGTCAACGCAAACGGATTAAAGTCACATCCGGGGAGAAGCTACTTAAGAGTTGAGAAATAAACCTAAAGTGCTTTTGGACTGTAGCAGGAAACTGGAGTATCTGAACCCATGTACACACAGGGGGAACGTGAAAAACCCCCTGAAAAGTCCCAGCTGGGAGTCAAACCCAAGACCTTCAAGCTACAAGGCAGCAGTCCTAACTAACCGTTTCCACCGTTCAGTCACTAAAATAAAACAAAATACCTCAAATATCTTGTTATTTAGGCAGACGGGAGTGTTTGCTGTGAGGCGTTAGTTCTACCCCCCTGCTTCCCTGACCTGTTTTTGTAGCATAAAAATATTAAACGGTTTAATTTATGCGCCAAAGACAAATAAATCAGCTCTAGATGTTGGCTATCAGCTGTTCTGATTTGTAAAGATTGACATCTGTATCTAAAAAAACCTAACCAATCAACTTCTTTAACCAGGGATGGAGATAAAATGTTCAACCAGTGGCTCATAAAGTCACACTGCTAAAAGTAGCAGGTTAATATAAAAAAAACTCCAAACGTTCCTTTATCCCTCTGAAAAAAGCCTCTAAACATATTTAAAAAAAAAAAGCTCCAACACCTTCCAGCTCACAGTGGACCTCTGTTCCTGCTGTCACTAAAAACCGAAGAAACACATCCTCATTTCGAGGAGCGGTCGAAACGTTCCGGTGGTTCAAATCCCACTAACACAGAGACAAGACTGTGAAATAAATATATTTTAAAATCAGCAACATGCGCAGTGACTGCTGGACATGGGCACCAGTGACCCCAGTGACCCAAAAAGGAAGAAACAAGTAAAGATAATGGATGGATGGGATGGAAAACACAGTACTTTTGTTTTTATTAGACTATTATAATTTATCAGATAAAAGAGAACCATAAGGAAAAACATGACGTGTTGTATTTGCTGTTTGGAGTGGTCCGTCTCCTAAATATACTTTAGAAGAAACAACTAAACACCAGTTACCAAAAGTTGTTTGTTTTGTGTTTAACGAACAACTGTTTTATTTGAGATTTTGTTCAAATAAAATATGTAATTTATAACACGTTCTTAGCTTTGAGAAATTAGTTTGACCGCTTTCTCACCCGTTATAAAAAGCCAGTTATGAGCCATAAACAGATTATAAAATAGATATTGGCGGTAAATAACAACACGTGCAATATGACAGCATCAATAATAAACTCAAGCTTGGCCAAAAACAGAAACTAAACTGCCACTAATACATAAAAAACCCTAAAAGTATCATGTTTGTACATTTTATGTGAGTATTTGTTTTGCTTCCCGGTAAGTTAACCAGACATTTAATCAAAGCAAAAAGTTCCAAACTTTTGGAGTTCGATGATAGAAAAATGTAATGATTAATAATCGCTTGTGCTCAGCAGGAACGAGTCAGTTCCTCTGATCTGCGGAGACGTACGGTTTACGACGTGGAGCGATCAGGTGTAATTATCTGGAACTGGAAACAGCTGCCCTACGAGCTTTATTGAAGTTAAATATTCACTGCAACGGATAATAATCTGCACTCAAAGACATTTTGCGTTATAAATTTAAACAGAACAATATGAAGAAGTAAAACCTGGTTGAATATGACTCAACGTTGCATGCAAAGATGCTCAGTTATAGATTTATTATAATGACCAAAAAAAAACTGAATTATATATAGTTATGGCAAGATCATAAAAAACTAAACCTGCACAATATTTTTCTGATATTGATGGTTAACGTGTTAAGAGTTAAGAATTGCCAACTACCACCTGTTTTTGTTTACCTCCAAAAACAGGCAGACAGTGACGTCCACAGAAGAGCCGTTCGTTACGAGAAGTATTGTACTGGTACGCATTTACCATCAGAAGTATTCAGTAAAGTATGCATATTTAAATGCTTTGTTTACATCGAGTACGTACCCGCAATTCAGAATCAGATACCTGCAAAACATCTGGAGTAAACTCTTCAGCAAGACACATTTTCAGGTTTGATTTTAAAGTTGATAATGAGTGACTCTTATCTAAGTTTTATGAGTAGATGTCCGTGGAGCAGAAAACTGAACCAGAACAATTATTTACAGTTAAAAACAAAAAGTGCATTCATGTGCGGGGAGCAAACGAAAATATTTTAAATAAAAATGGGATATAGATCATTTGTATTTGTAACTTATCTTTACAATAAAACATAAAAAATGCACTTTAAACGCTCTGTGGGGTAATTTTAGTCTTCTTCCTCCACACATACTCTTTGCAACAGAGGAAAAAAACAACAATCTGGTTAAACATATAATTAAATGAACAATCCTACAGTGTTATTATAACACATCCCATAATCTGACACTTTTAATTAAGATAAACACCGGATGAACCGTTTTACTTGAACCTAACTTGGAGCGAGAACTTGTGCAGAGCTGTGAGCAGCAGTTTCTTTATTCGTCTTAAAAAAGTTGTTTCTAAAAATTAATCACTTGAAGTCATAAAAATCATCGAAGCGTTTTCGTCTGGATCGTTTATCCGTTTTGGAGCGAACGTTTTTGGGACTTTGCCTCCAAAAAAAGAAGGTGGAAAAAAATGCAGCACATCACTTTTTTAAAACTATTCCCGTTCTCCTAAACACGTTGAACAAACTGCGATGAGGAACACGCAACAAGCAAGGTCGTATCTGAGGAGTAAAAGTGGAAGTTCACGGTTTAAAGCCGACGAGCAGCAACAAAGCGCAGCAACCGTTAAATATGCAGCAGTCCGTCGAAGTTAGCTTCAGCGGCTACAACGGAAAATAACTCACCTTTCTCGGTGGGGGCTGCATCCTCGTTTTTTAACATAAACTTTTTACACAGAAGCCGAAAGTTTATCTGGAAATGTTCGTCCAAACGGTTTTCGAACAAACGTAAACGGAGGAGGGATGTTCCCGGTCCGAGTCAGGCGACCATAACGAGTCCCAAGTTGTAAGTTGAGTCCGGTTGAAAACACTGTGGCCCCGGGGAACAGAAAAAACACGGCCGTCAATCGTCTGGACGAAACCCTGCCCACTTCCGGTAAATGCTACAAAATAAAACCGGAAACTTTACTTACGTGCGGACTCTTCAACGTAAAATGTCAAATGCAAAATGTAATAAATGTTAAAAAAAAATAGTATTACACAATTTGTTTTGTTTATACTACTACCATTACAAATGAATTGCAATTAAATAAAATAGAAAGGTAATAAATTGATTCTTAAGGCACTTACTATTTCTTTCATTCAACCTTTATTTATACAGGTTAGTCTCATTGAGCCTCGAGGACTCATTTACAGAGAGCTGTTTTAAACAAAAAAAATACAGATGAGGTATACAATAAGCAATCGCGTAAAATGCTTATAAAATGAAAATCAAGTAGAAGAAACGATATATAAAAAAAAAAATTCAAAAACAGCTACATTATAAAGCGATATAAAATACTAAAAACAGGAACATGTCTGCGTTGGTTTTTGTCATGAACTCAACAGTTGTTTAAAATCCCTTAGAGTTGTCAAGGTCAAGAGCTTCAGATCTTTTTGCGAGATGTTCCAGGTCACAGGAGTGTAGGAGAAGGCCCTTCTGCCTAGTTCGGTCCGCACTGAGGGTACACTGCAGGTAATAATGTTTAAGAGCGCACGCTGTAACTGCACTGACTAAGTGGCATGTAGGAGGAGATATAAAAATGTAATAAGTCAAAATAATCTATAATTAAATGATAATTAAAGCATTCAGATATGTTGATTTTTTAAGTGTTTTATTTGTTTCTATTTACAGTGCTGTTCTTTTGTTTTGTTTATTTATTTATTTTTATTTTACGTCATTGTCATCAGCGTTGTTCAGTTAGATAAAACCCTGCTGAGCTCAAGATCTTTTTTCCGAGGGCAGATGTCATAAAAAAAATTGTTCAAAACAAGAAACAATACAGGAAAAAAACACAATTACTGATTCATAATTAACATGTCATGCAACTGCTATTATTGTATGTTTTTTATATTGTTCTGTACTTTAATTGCTGGGTTGTAATAATAACAATAATAATATAATAAATAATAATATAATAATATAAGAGGTTTAAATCTGCACACGTAAGATGAATAATTAACTTCTGTTATACAAGTGATCCATTATGAAACATAATCTTTTAGCAGCTTTGTCACATTTATCCCAACTGTTTGAAAACTATTTTAACATGATTTTATTGTCACTAATAATATTTTAGTATCTACTGCTCTTATTTAAATTTCAAACAAACTGAAAATAAAGAAATTATGAAAATTATGCTGGTTTTTAATCGGTAAATTTTGGGTAAACTGTTCCTTTTCTTCATTGGTTATTTTGGGTCACGTGACCCAACTTTAAATAAATCAAGCGTTCTGTTGCACGTTTATTATTTCCTTTAGTGTTTTCAAAATAAAATGTTTTTTTATTTATTTACTGTATTACCAACATTTTGCATCAAATGTTCACGTTAGAGTGAGTGCTCAGCTAAGTGGATGACAAAATAAATTTACAAACCTACAAATTTTTATAAATTGACCAAAAATATATATTTTATATAATATACATATTAAAAAAATATTTGGTTCATTGAACTGTTTCAATGCGTGAGCTTTAATTTACGCCTTTTTATTGCAGACATGATGTGAACATTTTTGCTGTGGTTCTTCTACAATGTTGACAATTTATTTAAAGAAATGAATTTTAAGAAACAATATTAATGTAGATAATAATAACAATAATGTCATAGTATGTATCACTGCATTTAATGAAAAATAAACAAATGGACAGAAAAATTTGATATTCATGTGGCTATATTTTTATATTGAATAACCAATATCTAAAACCAGATGAAAATGTATCAGTGACCCAATTCATCGTCTTTCTTCCTGGGTAAAATCGTATCATTTACAGCTTCTGATGAACAAACAAACAAACATAAACATTGTAGACGTAGAAAAACAGATACAGAGAGAATCTTTATTCTCCTGCAGGAGGAAGGAAAAATTCATTATCATAATTTTACAATGAACTTTGAAACCCTTACGCTGCTTTAAGTTGATTTGTTCACTTTTTCCATGAGGGAGAACAACACAGACGTAACAAATAATATTTCCAACAGAACTGTGAGTAAAACTTAAAGCTGTCAAATTTTTACAACTCTGACTCGTGCAAAAGTTTCATGGGACAGAAACTGTACCAAACCCAGCCGGTTGATGGTCCGCTTGTCCTGAACCTGGTTCTGCTAAAGGTTTCTTCCTCACGAGGGAGTTTTTCCTTTCCACTGTCGCCTTCATGCTCGCTCAAGATGAGAGTCTGTGATGGAGTTAAACTCAAAGCAGTCTGCTCCTCAGATAAATAGTGTTACCTTATTATTTTTATGAATGTTTTTGTTTACTTATTATTTTTATATATGAATGTTTCTGTTCAGTGCCCTGAGATGTTTCTGTTCGGCTTGGCTCTGTATAAATAAACTGAATTGCATTGGTTTGATAAAACTAAAATGAAAGCTTACACTTGCTCCTAAAGAAATAAGCAACAAGTGAAATGAGATGGATATGCAACTAATATATATATTTTTCACACAATGAAACTATGTCTAGCTTAACCAGAATCCAACAACTGACCAAAATAATATTGCTATTAAAGAAATGCTAATAAATCGTTTCTTTAGCAAGACTTTTGATTGTTTTACATTTCTCTTTTTTGGGTGTTTTGAATATCATGGAATCAAAATAAAGCGAAAGTGAGCGCTTTTATTCTGAAAGTCACAGACGTTGAACCGGATGTGCTTCCATTTTTTCCGGTTATCTTCCAGCGCATGTCTGTCCTTCCTGTCCGGCCACAGATGAACGTGAAGCACGAGAGTTTAGCGTCGGGCGCGTAACTGGCTCCCCTGAAGCTAACTGATTAGCAGAGTTAGCTTTCAGCTGGGATGTCGGCGTGGCGGCGGCTTCACGGACCGGTGTGGACGGGGTGCTTGCTCTGCCGGACCGCGGTGACCCGGCGGCGCACTGCCCGCAGTGAGCGTCTGATCCTCGGTCACAGCTTGAGCACAGGCGGACCCCTCCGAAATGACTTCTATAAAGGTGAAAACAGCCAGCTTAGCTTAAAGCGTTTAGTTTAAAATAAATATTTAGTTATTAAACGTCTTTTATTCTGCATTAATACTTCCTGATTCAAGGTTACTGCGGGCGATAACGTTTTTGCCGGAGTCTGCACGTGTGTTCACCTTTTAGCAAAATATCTCATGAACCACTGGATGGATTTAAATAAAACTTTCAGGAAATAATCACTGGATATATAAATCTACAACTGTTTAACTTTTAGAGCTAACCAGTTCAAACTGGCCGCCACAGCCAACTATCTTAAAAAACACAAACATAGAAATAATTCAGCCACTTTTACAGATAAGTTGGTAAAACTTGGTGTGGTAGTAGCTGAGACTGATCTCCAACACATATACAGACAGAGAAAACAGCTGTGCAAGAACTTAATTGAAAATATGTCAATAGATATCTCGAGTCAAAGCTGTTTTGTCTGTTAGCTAAATATCTCATGAGTCGCTGGATGGATTTCAACAAAACCTTCAGGAAATAATCGATTCAAACTGTCGGCCTAAAACTGGTCGTGTCTCTGGATGGTGTGTCCTTACATAAAAACAGAAAACTGTTATGGACAAAAGAAGAACCTGGAACTCATAACGGCTCATGAAGGTCATGTGTAGAAAAAAACCCAGGAAAAGGTCCAGCAAAGATCTGAAACAGGATCTGAGCATCCTTCAGCTGAACCTCGGCTGCTTGGTGTGGAAGTTAAAAACTTACGTCAGTGTTGGTATTTTTAGCAGTTTGACAAAGATTTGTGAACAGTTTTGTCTTGACAGTGGATTTCTTGTTCAAACGTAAAAAACTTAAAGTTACCACTTCTCTGTAAACACAACACTGGTTCCTTTGGTTTTGTTTTGGTGCCTTTTCTCAATATAATCAATATAATCTTAATGTAAACAATATAATCTTAATGTAATTGCTTCATAAGCAAAAAAAAAAAAAAGTCTGAAAATGGTCACGAACAAGGACTGGGTTGAAAGAGAGTCAAAAAGGCACCCAAACCACCGGTCGACACCACATTTACAAGTAAAGTAAATAAACGAGGGAACGCTGGTTTAAAGTTTGTGTCGTCGTGTTTAGACCTGGAGGCCCGGCTGGCAGCGGTGAGGGAGCAAGCGATGGACGCTTTGAAGGGGAACAAGTGGATCGCTTATGAGGTCAACCCCAACCTTCCTCCAAAGGAAATGGACATCGTGATCATTGGAGGGGGTGTGATGGGCTGGTCCATCGCCTACTGGCTGACGCAGATAGGGAGAGGGGTGAAGATCATGGTCGTGGAGAGGGACGCAACTGTAAGTGACCCGATCACACATTTCAAACTTCTACAGAAACTTGTGTCAAATGTGAGCTGAGTGATCATGGAGGACTGCATCGAGCCGACTGAGTGGACGTTCTGAGCTTCACCTGCAAACGTCCGTGAAGAGGGAACCACACACACACACACACACACTTCATAATGACAAAAACAATAACAAAATATTTTAAAAAAAAGCAGCATAAAGAAGCAAACATAATGACAGAAATCTCTGACAAAGACTCAACAATAAAAAGAACAGAAGCAGCAAATCTAAATTAAAAAAGTGGCTACAATAACAACATTCATGTATAATCTTTAGAATGACACAACTGAGAGGTGCAACGTTACTACAGTACAAAGAAACGCGTAGAGGCAAAAGGTAACGATTAAAATGCAGAACATTTAAAGATTTATTACCACAAAGAGACGAGCTAATATCAGTGAGAGGAACATTTTAAATAAACGACTATAACAACACGGTTTTAGACAGTTTATACACACAAAGTGACGTCGAGGCCATAAAATAAGACCCAGTTAGAATAAAAGATAAATTCTCTCCAAGGAGAAACAAAAACTGAGCCTATTTTTTTTCCCATGTTTTCCACAACTTGAACATATTTGTAACAGTTAACCGCCAACATATTTTCTGTGTGATTTTTTTTTTTTCTCGCCCCAGTACTCCCAGAACTCCACGGTTCTGTCCGCAGGCGGGATCCGGCAGCAGTTCTCCCTGCCTGAGAACATCACCCTCTCCCTGCTCTCGGCAGACTTCCTGAGGAACATCAACGTAAGTCGCTCTGAACTGTTGGATCACGCCGAGAACGAGGGACGAGTTTTTAAATCGCCCGAGATGTGAAAACACATCAGAGGGAAAGTTTTGTTCAAACCTCACATGGGCAATGTTTGACCCGAGGGCCATTCTCCATCTGGTCCCCAGTATCCTTAACTGAAAAGAAAACTTTAAATAAAGTTGATCAAACCTGCATTTTATCAACAAAACTTAAGGAAATCTGAATTAAATGTCTTGGGACAAATACATGTACCACTTTTAAATTAAGATAAGCCAAAACTTGTTTTTTTTTTTTTAAACCCAGTAAGTGATTGTTTCAAACAATCAAGTGTAGACGGTAAAACTACCGTGGATTTGAGAAAAATATTGTGCAGGTTTTATTTCGACCGGTCTTTATGACATTTCAACGAGTGGTTTTAAAATGAAACGCCTTCATCAGCCCACGCATGAAAATAAGATCTGGTTTAGTCTGTTAGCGAAATTTCAGACTTGTAGTGTAGAGAGGATCGTAAAATAAGATCAATATGAGTTCCTGACTTAAAGAATAGAAACTATTTTCTTTACAGGACGCTCGATGGGTAACGTTTTGTTCTTCTGTTCGTACGTCTGTACGTTTTTTTTGGACTCGAACTTCTTTTGCGTACTTAGTGTGATTTTAGCCGTTCAAATAAAACGTTCGGCTCGTTCGGGAGATGGCTGCTCGGACTTTTGGTTTTTGTAACTCTTGTACGTTTCAAAAACATTTTAACTTTTTTTAAAATTAATTTTCCTACTGAAAGTACATTGAGATGTCTTTCTCTCTCTCTGAATTCTGCTCATTCTGCTTGCTCTATTTGTTTCATTATGCCACAGATTTTAGCTACATTTAGCTTTTAGCCACTGTTTTTCTACTTTAGCTACCATTTTACTAACGGTAGCTTTTCGTTGCTGACGTCAGCGCGGTTTCTGCTGGTTTTAAGAAATCAGTTCAAGCCTCCAGAACTCTGCAGTTTGGCTCTTTCTCCGCCATCATCAGCTTTTGGCAACAGATAAAATTAGTTTGAAAATATTAAACAGCAGAAAAACATGCATTCTGCTCATCTTTAGTTCATCCAGAGTTTGGGGTCCTAATCTGTTGGAAGCTTCAGAACAAAGCATCAGCTTAAACTTCACTTTAAAATGACTAATTAACAGTTTATGTATTTAAATTAGCATTGAAGTGGTCTTAAACCGACGGTTGGAGCTCTGATTACTAACTCTGGACGGGCTGGTTGTAGTTTTTTTTTGAGCTTTCTGAAAATCTTTATAGTTTTCTTGTTTGTGTCCTGTCAGGATTATCTCGGCATGATGCACGAAGACCCTGTGGATCTGCAGTTCAACCATTCAGGGTACCTGTTCTTAGCCAACGAGAAGGTGGCTCACATCATGGAAGCAAACTACAACACCCAAAGGTCACTTTTTTACTTTGAGGATCTGGTTTTGTGTCCCTGAAGCAAAACTGATCCAGGCTTTTGTCTCGTCCCGCGGTTCCAGGCAGATCGGAGCCAAAGTTTCCCTTCTGTCTCCGGCTCAGGTGAAGGAGAGGTTTCCCTGGATCAACACAGACGGAGTGGCGCTCGCTTCATACGGTGAGGACAAACAGAATGAGCCGATATCGAGTCGTTGGGCCGAATGTAGCAGCTGGAGGGAGAACGAGCGGCAGCTACGTGTTTATTCAGCTGCTTGAACACTCATCAGCTCCTCGGTGATTAAACAGAAAAACAGCCCGTTTGTAATAAACTGATGTTCAATAAATCAAGATTAAAGAGCATCCGTCACGTCCTGACAGGTGGAGTGAGGACGAGGACTCAGGCTCACCGTCTTAAAGCAAACTCAAGGATTAGCTTTTCTGTAAAAAAAAAAAAAAAAAGCAGCTGAACGACTGCTGAAACAGCTGGTCAGGCTAAAAAAATAAGTATGCTAGCTAAAAGAAGCTAGCTAGCTAAAAGAAGCACAAATTTAGCTTAGAAAGCAAAAAAAATTGCTATAAGTAGCAGAATGCGAGCTGAACGCTAGAGTAGCAAAGACTTGTTCAAAGCGTAAAGTAACAAAAGGCTGGCTAAAAGCTAATATAAACACAACGTATCAAAAGGCTAGCTAAAAGAAGCAAAAACTTGGCTAAAAAAGTTTGCTAAAAGTAGCAAAAGGTAAGCTAAAAACTAGAGTAGCAAAAAGTCAGTAAAAGCTAAAGGTAACAAAAGACTGGCTAAAAGTTAATACAAGTGCAAAGCAGCAAAAGGCTAGCTAAATAAGCAAAAAAGTTACCTAAAAGTAGCAAAAGATAAGCTGAAAGCTACAATAGCAAAGACTCAATAAAAGCTGAAAGTCGTAAAAGGCTGGCTAATACAAACGCAATGTAGCAAAAGGCTAGCTAAAAGTTAAAGGTAGCCAAAAAGTAGCTTAAAATTTTTTAAGTAGTAAAACGCTGGCTTAAAGAATCACAACAAAAGCTAAAAGGATATGGTAGCTAAATGTAAGAAATGCTGGCTAAAAGTAGCTAAACAAAAACTGAACAAGTGAGCTGAAGCAGATTTCAGAGAGTGTGTTTTGAAGGAATTGCACACAACTCAGTAGAAGTTCATAGTGCTAAAGACTTAAAGTTAAATAATTTGAAACGTATAAAATGTACAAAGGTCACAGCAGCTGTCTCGTAAAGCAGCAGATTGTTTTGATGTACAAAAATCACACAAATGATCCAGACGTAGTTAAACTGAGAAAAACACAAAAAACAAGAAAATAGGACGAACGCTGACTCAGCATTCACACAATTAACTGAAATGAACACAAATATTCAAACCCAGGAGGTGGCAGAGTCAGTCTCACAAACCGTTTGTTTTTCAGCTGCTTCCTGTGTGACACGTTGAAACCGTCTTCAAACCAAATGAAACGAGCAGCAACTTCGTTTTGTTAATCAGCAGGAGTTCTGTAACGGATTCAAGCCGAACTTGTTGTCTTGGCCATGGCTCAGATCAGCTGAGGGTCGTTGTTGCGGCTGGTTTCTCTCTGACATGCGGGTGTTTGGTGCCACGTAGGTCTGGAGAACGAGGGCTGGTTCGACCCCTGGACTCTGCTGAACGCCTTCAGGAGGAAGGCCCTCTCCCTGGGGGTCACCCAGTGCTTCGGGGAGGTCACAGGTCAGTTCGGACCTCCTCATATAACAAAAACTGGGTCTAAATGTTGACCAGCAAGTTCTTTCAGGCTGAAAACCCAGTTTTGAGTTCTAAATTTAACATCACACACGTTATGTCCAGTAACCACCGACCGTTTAATATTCAACATAAATGAGGACGAAAAGTGTCTCAGATGGCTGCAGTAAAGTTTAGATGCAAATATTGGAGATGGATGGAAACTGACTGCTGTCCACATCATTATGAGCTGCAGCTTTTTATTTTATTTTAAACATCAAACACATGAAAATTACATTTATACACCAAGTTCTGAAGCATTTTCATAAAAGCTATAATCAGAATTTTATACCATTTTTTTGTTATAACAAGCTCCAAAAGCTGATTTTTGTAAGTAATAAAATAAATCTTTATAAGTTAATACAAGTATGTTTTTATATTGCTCCTCATTTTTGTTTATTTTTATCAGCTGAACATCTGTCCTGTTTTTGTATTTTAGCTGTTTGTTGTTGTTTACACTGCTTGTTGTTTGCCCTCGACAGATTTTTTTCATACAAAAGCCATTTTAAACACCGTGGACGGAGACACCTTCCAGCTGAGGAACATCAGGTCCGTCAAAGTGAGTGGAGCAGGAAGCTCTGAAGTGACAGTCACCCATCAGGCGAAAGGCGGGCGATTACCTAACTGTTCGGGTCAGTGTGTCAGCAAAATATCTCGTGAACCACCAGATGGATGTAAGAGAAGATAGAACTTTATTGATCCCGCAGGAAATTATTGTGCCAGAGTTTCAGTACAAAGGAACATGAATAAGAATCACAAGATATAAAGACAACGGAGAATATAAAAAAAATGCAAGCAATTAAGTTCTAAACAGGTGCAAACATTAAAGAGTTTATTGTAATACAGGATTCATTTTATTGTTCAGTGTGCAGAAAGGGGGCGGAGTTGAAAAGCTTGACAGCCACAGGGAGGAAGGACTTCCTGTGGCGTTCTGCGGAGCACCTCGGTGCTCTCGGTCTACGACTGAAGGTGCTGCGGTCAGAGTCCAGAGAGAGTCGGAGTTGGAGTCGACCCAATTCAAGTTGTTCACCGCAGCAAACCCAAACATGGCTACAACGCCGCCATTTTAACCAACACTGAGCTCAAACTCGGTGTGGTAGTAGCTGAGAGTCATCCAAAATGTAAAACCTGAGCCCAAACAGGCTGCATGAAATCTTTTCAGATGCAAGTGAATAAAATGTCAAATCCCTTTTATGCATTTTACCTTAAAAACACTTGCGCAGTAAAATACAGTAGTCCCTCTATGATCGTCTCCCCCCCCCCCCCCCACGATAGGTGAAAAACCGCAAAGTAGGGACGCTATATATATTTTAGTATTTATGTTTACTTTAAGGCTTTATAAACCCTTCCCACACCATTTACAATGTTCTAAACTCTTAAACCGACGTCATTTTAACAACATACGTATATGTACTGTACAGTACTACAAAGCTCTGCAGACCAGCAGATTGGTTCTGGCTGGGCTCGGTTCTGGTTCTGCAGACCTACCCTGCAGTGACGAAGTCCACCGTCCCGTCCAGGATGATGTGCACGTGGATAATGGAGCATCAGGATTATTATTTGTAACTTTCCTGCCAGATCTGTGAGCTTCACAGATCCATCGTTACTTCTTTTACGTTACAAAACATTTCAGCAGAAAGCAGTGGCCAGAAGCACTGTTGGCTTCTGGGTAGTGAAGTTCTTTGATTGGCATTACAGTGTAGGCTTATTGAAAGAAAACTACAAAATGGTAGCGCTTGTCCCAAGTATTTTTTCGTTAAGTTTTTATCTTGTACTGTCAAAATCACGTGAGTAATATTAAAGTTGACAACCGTTGAAAAAATCATGAAAGTCGAACTGTAAAGTAGCGAGGGACTATTGTATTAGTGTTTTATCCTTTCTTTCTTGTTTTTGATTGTTTTATTGTTTTACTGACATCTTGGCCAGGCCATCCTGATTTTGTTTTTTAAATCTGGTTACAGAAAATCACCTGGACCCAGACGTGAGCTCGTGTCGCGTCGCTAAACTTATTTTGACTTTCTTCCTCTCAGCCTTCAGTTTTCTTGACTGTTTTTTTCCAAACAGTTTTATAATTTATGATTATCGCCTGCCACCAAAAAGTTAAAGCAGACGATTATTTCTTTTCCCATGTCTGTCTGTTAGCAAAATATCTCGTGAACCTGGAGACGGATTTGAATGAAAGCTGAAGTGATAATTGGAGTCCATCTGGAGCACTTCAGCCACAGCTGAGCGATCCTAAAAAGCATTAGCTCCACAAATACTGACCTAATATTTGGTGTGGTAGTAGCTGAGAGTCATTCCCAGTAACATCGTTGTCATTTTCCACCTTTAGCTGGTCGTAGTATAAAGCTCTGGCAGGAAATGTTGAAAATGATCTTTATATTTCGATCTAAACGTTTGATTTTAAAATGAAGATACGAAGGAGCTCAGACGAACAGAACTTCAATGTTTCGTTGTTTATTTGGAAACGTTTTGTAGAAAAAGATCTGACGTGGAGAACGAAGTCATCCTTAAGAGCGATGTGGCTCGACTTGTTTGTATTTGGACACAAACAAAAGTAATATTTCACCTACGTGTCCAGCCTCTGAGCTTGTACCCCTGCAGCTGCCCCGGGGCAGAAGGACCCACAAGGCCTCGGTTGATGAAGCCTCGTGGTTCATTTTGACCCAGAGCAGCAGGCGGCTCGGCTTTTTGAACACAGAGGCTCCAAACTGAAACCCTGAGCCTGAGAGTGACTGTGTGGGCAGAATAAACTCCCGTTCCGGTAGTTCAGTAGTTGGAGTTGATGGGGCGGAGCAGTGGTATTAAAGTGATGGTGTGTGCTGAGCAGGTGCGGATGCTCAACAGCCTGGACTACCAGCCGGTGGATTGCGCCATCGTGGTGAACGCAGCCGGAGCCTTCTCTGCGAAACTGGCAGAGATCATGGGAGTCGGCCTCGACCCAGAGGAGATCATGGCTGGATTCACGATTCCCGTCGAGCCCCGCAAGAGGTGGGTGACCGGCTCCAGCTGCTTTTAGCTTCAAGGTTTCTTTTCAGGATGGAGCAGTTCATCTCCACTGGTGTCTGGAACCGGGAGGTAAACGGTCGGGTCCTTGTGTTCTGGTTTTTAGGTACGTTTATGTGGTCCGCTGTCCTGACGGGCCAGGTCTGGACTCCCCCTTCCTCATCGACTACTCGGGCGTTTACTTCAGAAGAGAGGGTTTAGGAGGAAACTACATCACCGGAGTGTCGCCAGAGGAGGTCGGATCGATCTCTGAGCGCAGTATTCACGTTTAAAAGTTTGAACAGACGATCTGATCGTCTCGTTTTGTGTCGTCAGGCCGAAGAGCCGGACATTAGCAACCTGGAGGTGGACCACCAGTTCTTTGAGGACAAGGTTTGGCCCAAACTGGCCCATCGAGTTCCAGCTTTTGAAAAACTGAAGGTAAAACAGTTTCTGAACCGAGTTTGAATCCACAGCTTTGGTGCGAGACAAGCTCGTGCTTTTATTCTTTATGTGTTTTATAGTTTTAGCTTCTAAGCACGCAGAGTTTAAAGTAGATTTTCATTTTTCATGTGAATTACGTGGTGATGCCTTTAATTAAAAAAAACGTGGTTCTCTTATGTCTTATGCTTCTTTTTAGTTTTTAGCTACTGTTTAGCTTCTAACAGGTCTATTATTATTTATAGCTTTTGTCTCACCTTTTTCTGCATTTAGCTCACCTTTTGTTACTTTCAGCTAAAGCTAGCTTTTTGTTATTTTTATCTTTCAGCTAGCATTTTACTACTTTGCTACTTTAGTTTATTAGGACTATTAGCTTTTAGCTAATGCTCTGTTTCTTAGTTTTTAACAAATCTTTTGCTGCTTTAAGCAAATCTCTTGATTCTTGTAGCTAAACTTTTGCTGCTTTTAGCTAGTGTTATTACTAATTTTAACTCTTAGCTACCATTCTGCTACTTTTACTTTTGGTCTAATGCCATTTTTAGCTCTTAGCTAGCCTTTCATTGCTTTAAATTACCCTTTTGCTACATTTAGCTCTTTTTTGCTACTTGTAGCTAACCGTTTGTTGCTTTTTAGCTAGTGTTATGCTATTTTCAGTGTTTACATAGTTCTTTTGGAGGTTTAAGCTTTTTGATAACCTTTTGACGCTTTCAACTAAACTTTTGCTCCTTTTAGCTAACTTTCTGCTGCTTTATTGTTTGCTGATTCTAGCTAGTGTTTAGCTTTTTTGGGCATTTTTCTTTTATCTTTTAATTCATGTGCTGCTTCTTTTAGCTAGAATTTTTAGCATAGCTAGTGCTCTGTTTATCTTAGCTTTAACAATTTAGTTTTAGCTTTTTCAGCTAACTTCGGCTGTGTTCTCATGGTTTCCACTGAAAAGCTGTTTTCTCTGGTTTTTAAAGACTTAGAACTCGACTTGTTTTTTTTTTTAGCTGCAGCTCGTCTTCTTCTCTCCTCAGACTTAGTGAATCCGCTCTAACAGCACGTTTGACCCGACCCCTTGTCGGCTCTTCTTCCTGTCAGGTGACGGGCTCATGGGCAGGTTTCTACGACTACAACACCTTCGACCAGAACGGCCTCGTCGGTCTGCACCCGCTCATCACGAACATGTACTTCGCCACCGGCTTCAGTGGCCACGGCCTGCAGCACTCGCCGGCGGTGGGCCGGGCCTTGGCAGAACTCATCCTGAAAGGAGGCTTTAAAACTTTGGACCTGAGCAGCTTCGGTTTCGGCCGGGTTCTGAAGAAGGAGCAGATGTTGGAGCGGAACATCGTGTAGCTCGGCCACAACTGGAATCATCTCGATTAAAGACGGTTGGAACGCGATCAGCTTGAGGCTCGTGGAGCTTCAAAACGTTGAATTTACTCAAACTGTTTTATTCATCCGACAGAAAAATGATCATTTAAAATCAAAAACGTGATTTAATCTTTATCCAATAAATCAAAGACAAAACCGAACAGACTTGTTTTTTGTTGTCCATTATCGAACGTGCGCGTCACAACAATCAGTGAACCTTTTTTCACAAGAAATATTAGCGGTGGCTACTCGTAAAAACGTCTCCGTACTTCAGACTGATTCATTTCACGACCGAGAAACAGAAATGTCCGTTTGGAGAAACTGAAACAAACGCAGGCGACGTTTAGACCTCAGTCTGCGCTGTTCTCAATAAAAGAAATGTTTCTTAAGTCATGGCGTAATGTTTAAGTACTACACCAGCAAATACCCAAACTGAAGTACACGTACTCAGTCTGAATACAACTAGTACTGGGACACCCTAAAGTTAGATTTGGACTCATTAAAGCACCAAATACAAACACGAGTTTTAAACTCTAAAAAAGTTGATTCTCTGGACGGGTTCAAAAAACAAAAAAACCGTAGAAACGTTCCGTCTTTCATCCGAAAGTCTTCATGAGGAGCTGTGTTCAGCTCAGTCTTATAAAGCTTTTAAGACTGTTTTCTCATAAAGTCTTATAGAGTTTTAAATATTTATAGTTTTAATCATTACACTGCAGCACAACATGCACCTCATGTTAATATCAAGCTTGATTTTTAACTAAACCCTAACATTTATAAATATAAGTCCTCTCCAGGTCTTGGTTTTCTTTATGCCGATGTTTTTCAGGATGTAATCACCAGATGGCGTCGTAATTATTTTTAATTTTTAATGCAGCCTCTGGTTAATCTGGACAGACCTGAGCTAAGTTAGATTTTTCTACCTGGAGCAGCATCAGGACTCTGGATAATCATCTTAAGATCAGTCAAACACGTCGGTCAAAGCTGCACTTGTTTTGTGTAAATGTTGCAGCTATAATTAAAATACCTGCAACTTTTAATGTGCATTTTGATTTGTATATCCAAAAAAACTTAGAAATTACACTTTTAATTTGAGTATGAAAGAAAAAATATATAATTTGTGTGAAACTATAATATGTCTTAATGTTTCAGGGTTAATGAGCGTTTTATGTTGCGATATCTGCAGAACATGAGATTAACTTTGTTACTCACAGATTAAGATGACAAAGACTTTAGGCTCCTGTTTTATTCTTCATCGTTCATAAAAGTGTTAATAATGAATGTTTTAACAAAAAGAAATGTTTTATAATAACTTAAAAACCCAGAAAGACCACTTTGGTTCATGTCTTGCCTCGTTCACAGTAAAGATGCTCAAACAGCTCCGGAGCATCTGATCGTTAAAACGAGAGTGAATAAATTCTGAAACGGAGTAAAGATCAGAAGAATGGCAGAGATTCAAGTTCTTGACTGGAAAAATGCCCTGAAGTGATTTTACGTGCTTTAGGCTGAAACGTGCCTCCACAGATGTTTTTACCTTCCTGTGTGTCACGAAGCTGCTCCTCGTGCAGTAAAACCACGCCGACGTGTTCCTCCTGACCCTGAGGTACCCCTCACACGAACTTCAGGCTGAAGGAGGCGACGCCGTCATTTCCCAGGTATGAATCAGGTTGTGTGTGTGTGTGTGTGTTAACCTTTAAAAAAAGTGAGAAACGCCCACACTCAAAACATGACATCATCTCCTGAGATGTTGAAAACGTCAGGAAACGTTACAGACGGGCTTCAGTCCGTGCACGCACTGACCTCAGAAAACATCTGTAAAAAACAGCTGTCAGTTCGACATAATGGGCTAAACGTTGGTTTGGTGGTAGCTGGGCGTCATTCCCAACATGTACTCCTAACGAATCATACAAGATCGTGATCACTAATTCACTTTCAATTCCCTTTTTTAAGTTTAGTTTGTGTTTTCTACGTCAGCAGGTCCAGAGCGAGCGGCGGCCTGGCTGAGACGGACCGACCAGAGTTCTGCACAAGTCCACCAGAACAAGTCAGGTGAACTGAAAAATGGCACAAAGGAAACACTACAAGGACGTGTGGCACTAAGACGAGGCGCGGGGTCCAGAGAGGGTCTCGTTGGGCCATCTGTGCCCGTCTCTGAACTGTCCAGCAGACCCCAGACTGGACTTTGTGCCACGGTCAGTAGTCAGAGTTTCTTTATGGTCTTTCATGTGGTTCATGTGGTGGAGCGAAATTATGTTCACAGGGTCCCAGTTACATCCAACAATAAAATGTAAAAGAAAAACAGTAATAACATCTAAGATATGAACTAAGAAAAACATCAACTAAATATACACTAAGCACTCATAACATAAAACATTACGTCGAACATCAGCCCAAACATCAATAGTTCTGGTGGACCAACAACATTTGTGTTGTTTGATTACGTCACCTTGTAATCTTCTAATCCTGTTTGATAAGGTGAGATTTATTATAAGCCCCACTTTGTTTCATCAACCGTGAGGATTTTATGGTTTTTACTGTAAAAAAAAAAAAAAAAAATCAATTTAAATCCAATTTGGGATTTCTCCAAACGTGAAGAATCCAAATCTGACCCGCTGAAACCCGCTCGGCGTTGGTGGCAGCTTTAAACAAAAGCTTTTGTCTTTTTGTCCGAAAACAAATCAAAGTTTCTTCGGAAGACTGAAGTCCGTTCTGCTCTGACGGGTCGTTTGAAACCAGAACTGAACGTGACGGATCCGCTACAGCGGCGGCCCTCTCTGGATCTCCTGCACCTTCGACCATCTTTTTGTTTCTTTTGGTTTCCACGCAGCCGAAGGCCTCTGGGCCCACCGCTGCAGGGCCTCTCATCACTTCAGCTCATTTCATGGAAATGTGCTCCAAAACAGCCAACTGAGCGCGACAAGGACACTCAGCTCTTCATTTTGATGTAAATGTGAGGCAACCTTGCAGGTTCACGTTGGGGGAAGGGGGAACCAGGCAGGGAAGCACACCCGGGGGTGGGGGGGATCCTTTGTGTGGCCTCCTGTAAATCCCAAATGTTCTCAGGACTGAAAACAAAAGCAGCATGTGGCACCGGCCTCAACTGACGCACCTACTGCCGCAACAAAACCACTGAAGGCATTCAGACCCCACTGCCACAATACCACCCCCCAAGTCCTCAGAACTTTACAGTACCAAGACCCGCAGGAGAGAAGAGCTGCTGGTTCTGAATAGAGAGGACCGACGCCCCCCGGAGCTCCGCAGCTGCATGAAGCCAGCGTACGCGGTGGCATGTGGCTGGGATTAGGAAATTTCACTGTGGATTAAAATCTTTCCAACGCCTCCATGGCCACCCGCTAAAAGAAAAGGAGTCTGAAGGTCCGACACAGATCCAGTGAGAACTGCAGGTCCATGGTCTCACTGAGCAGGTGAGTCCAAACCAAAACCTTTGAGTAAAGTTTTGTATTTGCTTGTCCACCAGTTTTAGAGCATAAACGTAACGTCTATAAAGGTTGAATTGACAATTTGTGTATGTTTCAGAAATGCAAAGAAATAAAAAGTAACTTTATAACAGTTTGTAAAAGCAATACAGTTGTATTAATGATTTCTCTAAAGTTATATTCAGACTTCAGGATGTTTAGTAAGAACGATTTGACGGTTTTGTTCAAACAAAAGTTCTTTCTTCTCAGTCGTGGCTCAAAAAGCAGCTCAACGCTTCGCCTCACCGAGCGCTCCATCTCCTGCTTTAATGCCCTTCTCCTGTCGTTACAAAGTTTTTTACTTTGTAAAACCCCGTTTGTAGATGGGAAAACTTTCTTTTGATGTCTGATAACGGAAATTTCCCACTCTGGTTTACAACCACAGTCCTGGCGTCACAATGTTGTGTGAAACGTAAATAAAACTGAACGCAACAATTTGCAAATCTCAAACTAATTTTACTCACAATAAATCACAGTAAACATATTAAAGAAAATAAAAGTTTTAATTTTTGTGGTAGCAGTTCCAGCTGAGTGTTTCCCACCTCTTCTTTTAACACCAGTCTGTAAAGGTTCAGGACCTGAGACCAGCTGCTGGAGGTGTTGTCCCGATCCGGTCTGAGGATTCTAGCTGATCCATAGTCTTGAGTTTTCTTTTTTGCTGGATTGGAGCAGATGTTGTAAAACCTGGATAGTTTTCTGCGTTGATGAAGCCTTTCCAGATGTGTAAGCTGCCCATGCAGGAGGCACTAATGCACCCCCATACCATCAGAGAAACAGGCTTTTGAAGTGTGTGCTGACAACATACTGGATGGTCCCTTAAAAGAAATTCTTATTTGAATTTGTCTGAACACAGAACAGTTTTCCACTTTGCCTGAATTTAATGTCTGTCATGTTTCATCCGTCCATCATCTTTACCCGCGTCTTCCTTTTCGGGTCGCGGGGGTCACTGGTGCCCATGTTCAGCCATCACTGCGAGAGGTAGGGGACACCCTGGACAGGTCTCCAGTCCATCACAGGGACACAGAGACAAACCTAGGGACATTTTAGAGTTACCAATCAGACTAACATGCATGTTTTTGGTCTGTGGGAGGTAACTGGAGTACCCGGAGAAAACCCACGCATGCACATACCGAACATGCAAACTCCACCCAGAAAGGCTCCGGTCCAGGATATTTGAACTGGGGCGACCTGCTCGCTGAGAGGCATCAGCTCTACCAACTGTGCCACCGGGCTGCCTTGCAGTGTTTCAGTGTAAATAAAGAAAATGTAGGTTTATGAAATATGCAAACTATTTAGTTACCGTTGTACTGGGATAGTTTGTCGTTTGTAAACCGTCTGTCTCTAATCCTGCGTCCACTCCTGCAGCTCCAGGATGTTTCAGCTGCTCCCGGGTCGCATGCAGCCAACTGGACATCGAAGTCGAAAAACCCGTCTGGTCACCAAAGACGGCCACTGCAACATCGAGTTTGGCAACATTGAATACAGCAACCACTTTGCATACGTGGTGGACTTCTGGACCACCTTTGTGGAGATCCGCTGGCGCTTCGTTCTCCTCCTGTTTGTGGCTACGTTTACTGGCAGCTGGTTCATATTCAGCCTGCTCTGGTACTGGATTGCAAAGAGCAACGGGGATCTGAGCGGACAGAACCGCACAGATGGACATGTCCGATGTATAGACAACATTAACGGCCTCACGGCAGCGTTCCTGTACTCGTTAGAGACCCAAACAACCATTGGATATGGTGGACGGGCGCTGACCGGGCACTGTGCTGGCACAGTGGCTCTGATCGTCATCCAGTCTCTGGTTGGAGTCTTCATCAACTGTTTTATGTGCGGCGTCATCTTGGCCAAGATCTCCTTACCCAAAAAAAGGGCAAAGACTGTGACCTTTAGCAACACTGCTGTGATCTGCCTGAAGAAAGGAAGCCTGTGTCTTCTGATCAGAGTGGCCAACCTCCGAAAAACTTTATTAATCGGGAGCCAGATCTATGGCAAACTGCTGAGGACCACCATCACACCTGATGGAGAAACTATCATCCTGGATCAGGTGGACGTTGACTTTATGGTTGATGCTGGCAAGGATAACCTGTTCTTTATTTGCCCCCTGACCCTCTACCACGTCATTAACAGATCCAGTCCGTTCTACGAGCTGTCGGCCGATACGCTCCCCCAACAGGACTTTGAGCTGGTGGTCTTTTTAGACGGGACGGCTGAGTCCACCAGCTCCTCCTGCCAGGTAAGGACCTCCTTCATCCCACAGGAGATTCAGTGGGGTTACAGCTTCCTGCCCATCATTTCCCGCACCAAGATGGGGAAGTACCGCGTGGATTTCTCAAACTTTTCCCGAAGCGTCCGTGTCTCCGCGCCTCACTGCGTCCACTGCTTCGAGACAGACGCAGACCAGAGAAACCACAACAACTACAGCAAGGAGAACCACAGCAACCAGCAGAAAATGGGCATCGAAAACTTGGCCTTCCAAGAGGTCGACATTCACGACCCCCTTGACGACACTAAAATGTGAGGCGGTTGGAGAAGAACCAGGATTTGGGTATGGGGGCTGGGAAAAAGTTAGGACGTTAGAAAACATGCAAAAAAAATGCCATTTTGAATCCAGTGAAGTTGGGGTTCAGTGTTAGTAAAATTTGGAAGACATTTGGAAGTCTGACGCTGAACATAAAAAACGGTAAAATAGTGGAAAGCACAGTGGGTTCTTCTTGAGATGATTACGGTCTGATCCTATTACAATGACAAAATGAGCACGAAGAGGAAACGTAGGAGGACAGACCTTCAGAGTTGACTCATTCTTCCTGAAACACTAACTCTGAGATGTTTCCTTCATGTTGACTGTGTAAATACAATAATTACATCACGACCAGTCTACGTTTTGTAGACGATACTGTGTTCTACTGTCACGTCTCAGGGAAATTCAAAGTTGAAATAAACATTTGTTTTACATTTCTTTGACTCATTCTCACTCTTTCTTGACACAATTTTGCGCCCAATCAGAAATATCACAAGAGTACTGCCGATACATAAGTACGGTCCTCTTGGAAAATCATCCATAGCAAGATGACGAACAATGGGGAGATGAAATTAGAGAGGTCAGACTGAGATGGTTTGGACATGTCCAGAGGAGGGACAGTGGTTTGGACATGTCCAGAGGAGGGACAGTGGTTTGGACATGTCCAGAGGAGGGACAGTGGGTATATTGGTAGAAGGATGTTAGAAAAGCAGGAAAAAGACAGAGGAGATATATGGATGCAGTTAGAGAGGACATGGAGGTGGAGTGAGGACAGTGTGAGATAGAGGAGGACTTGCTTTGACAACCTCTGAAGAGGGAAAAGATGAAAGACGAAGAAGGTAAAACTAGTTAATTTAGTTAACGTTTCCATTTTCTTAAAAAAATGGTTTTAAAAACACTTTGTAGATGTGAGACAGTTTTTTGCCCGGTGCCATTAAATGTGGTGGGTGTGATTTAGCGAAAATAAAAACGGCTATAAATTAGTTAGTTTTAAGCATATTGAGCTAAACTTTGGTGTGGTAGTAGCTGAGAGTGGTTCCCAACACGTACTCTTGAGATCTTTGTTTAAAACTTTCACATTAACTCTTAGACTGCCTGTAAAAATGATCATGAATTTTAATGAGACTCAGGAAGTAATCAGTGGCGGCCACAGCTGAGCTACATTAGCAAACACAAAAATGGCTTCAAATCTGTCAGTTTTACAGATACTGAGCCAAAGTTTGGTGTGGTAGTACCTGAGATTTATTCTCATCACATACTCGAGCACTAACAGGACTCTTAGAGCCTGGCCCATAAGGCGGCAAGAAGAAACAATTTCTTTAAAGAAATGGTAAAAGTGTCAAAACTGGAGAAATAAAAACATGTCCATTATAATTAACAAAAAAAAAGTCCTAATTTTTAAATTATATACTTTGAAATAATGGTAAGATCAACAAGGACACCAAATTTTAGAAGTAAAATGAAAGTTGCTACATGTCCCCCATGTCGTTGATACTTATAGAAATAATATATTGCAGAATATGAAATGTGATATCACTTGTTAATTGCCTGTATCTGATATAAAAACCTCAAACTGCTGTTTTTATTTCTGCGTCGAGTGTTCTTTGGTGTTATTCGGCACTTACTCCTAATGAGAGACTCAAACTTCTCTTAGTAGAGAACCACGTTAAAAAGGAGCTATTTATACGACACAGTTGGTGGCAGGCCTTAGACTGATGAAGTCTTTCAGATGAAAGACGAAATGTTTCTACCAAGAAAAATCTGTCCAGATGACCCGTTTTAACTCTTTGACCTGGATGACTGAGCTTACATCAGGATCTTTCTCTTTGTAGATTTGACAAGTTTAGATTGAAAATAGTGTAATAACAACTTTTTATGGGGATATTTTATTTCTGTCTCTTTGTTTTTTTTTATAAATCATTTCGTTTTTGAATAAAATTATTAAAAAGAGGAGTGGGAGCTGTGGCGACTGGTTTGACCACCAGAGAGCATCAGTCCACTGCTCTGGTTCAGTGTGCTGAGACAGTCAAAACGATTCATCCCAATTTATTCACCCCAGTTCTGCCTGAGGTCTGCTCCGTATGTTTGATACATTTAAAACATCTGTTTACAGACCTGATGACATCTGTTTACAGACCTGATGAACCTGGTAAAGGCAGAGTGTTTCAGCAGGTGATGGAATGGAGACGACCTGTTCATCTCCAACCTGCTCGTCAGACCGACTCCTGAAAGGGGCTTTGGTCCCATCTGGATTAGCAGCGGCAAGTTAACTGGGCCTCATCTGCATGACAATGAACAGAAGTGTTGAGAGGGATTGGCCCCGTGAGTTTGAAGCAGCTGAAAGAAAAGAGATAAATTTAAGGAATAGGAGGCGTTTGTTAATCTCATGGAAAACTGATTAGTTACTTTATGATTCATGTGACAGAGACGTGTGGGCAGAGAGAGAGCCAGGGAAACCACAGACACCCCACGCTCCTCCTTAGTTACTGCTACCATGCCTGTAGGGGCCGCCATGTTGGTAAACAGAGGAGCTCGTTTTCGAGCATGCTCAGTCTGCTGCTGCACAGGAAGCACACGGCAACAGTGGATGACACGATGCACGTGTGTCAAACTTAAGGCCCGCGGGCCAAATCTGGCCCTCGTTAACATCTGCCCCACAAGATCCATCCATCATTATCTTCCACTTGTTCTGAAGTCTGGTCTCGGGGGCAGCAGCTTGAGCAGGGAGGCCCAGACATGTCTTTCCACAGCCACCTGTTCCAATTCTGGGAGGACTCCAAGGTGGTCTTCCCCGGCGTCTCCTCCCAGTCCGGCATGCTCGAAGCACCTCTCTAGAGAGGCACCCAGGAAGCATTGTCAGATGCCTGAACCACCTCAACTGCCCCCCAAGGTGATAATTTAAATGTAAATTATTTGTTGCTTCTCATTTTGCTTAGACAACAAATAAATACTTCATTTTGTGCAGTCTCGTTGTGAGTTCTCAATAATCTTTGATTTTTGACGTGGAAAGAACAAAACGCAGATCAAACTGCTGCTGACGAACGTGCAACCAGGGAAAGATGTTGAGTTTCTGACTCGAGTTAATGTTTCTGAAACTAGCTCATGGCTTGGACCAAGTTTTACATTTGGACACCCCTACACTAAAGAATCGCTCGCCGTCGGCTGATTTTGAATCGTCCAATTAAGCTAGAAATCTTGGCCTCGAGGTGCGAGAGCGGTAAGTGAAGCTTCACACCCCGCCCTGTTCGAGGCTCAATTGTAAATGAGTCCTCGAGGCTCAATGGGATTTACCTGTATAAATAAAGGTTGATTGTTGTCTTTATCTTTCTGCCTCCATCCCCGTTTTAAATCAGTCATGTGATCGTGACCATCCCTACTGAGGCAAAGCTAACTGTTAACCACTTCAACGATTCATTTACAGACAGAATCTGAGTTTTGTAGCTTTAAAGGATTACACCGAGGAAGGCCTGGGTTTGTGTGAGGAAAAACAAAACCCATAACATCGTAAACATCAAAAAAGAGCAGCATGAAAAAATATTAATGTAGTTAGCTTTTAACCTCCAGTACCTGTCACATGTGTCAAACTGAAGGTTGGCAGGTCAGATCCGGCCCATGTTAACATTTTATTAGACGTGGCCCTTTAGTTTGGGACGGATCGAGTGTCTACCGCTGGTTTAGAACTTATTACTTTGAAGTAAGGACATTTTAATCTCAGTAAACTTTGATGAGGAAACATCAAACTGATCAAACTCTTGATAAACTTACAGAACTTGAAGAATCTGTCCAGAGGACCCGACTTAACTTTGTTACCTGGATTATTGAGCATGCATCAGGGTATTTGCAGAACTTCGTTTTCGACTTGAGTAGAAATATGCAACAAACGGTGGCGAGCCTGTATTTAATATTAAATGTCTTTTCCAGTAATTTCTTCTTGTTTCATGGTTGTAATTTTTTTGTAGCAGTTTTAATGGATTGTGATAAAACACATCAGTAAGACCTCCTCTTCTGTCGGGCAGGTAAACCTTCTCACAGCCAGACGTGAACTCGCCCACCTCTCAGCCCCTCCGTGGACATAATCTGTAGAAGCAAACGTTTGAGCTGTTGCTACTCATGAGACGTTTCACCAACTCCCGTATTTATAACTGAGCCATTTCACTCCTTATGTAACATTTTTAACTGCTTCGAGTCAACATTCACACACTTAATGAAGAACAAATACACTCCTGGCTGAAAATGTGTTTTATTTACATTTCCTGGACCCGGACGGGAAGCAAATGGCAGGCGTTCCACAGGTACATGTGTTAAGGTCACTTGAATGTTGTAACGTTGACACAAAATGTCTTCAACAGTCAAAACTCAGCATGCAGCTGAACTTTCCCAGCAGCCCCCGTTCACCCAGCAGAACTGAGCATTTAGAGTCACAGAGTTTAATTAACAGTTAATGAATTAGTGCAGCAGCTGGAAGCTTCCTTTCATTTCACCTAGCGTTCACAGCCCGACTCGCTCCAACCAGCCTCAGACTCTGCTGGAGGATAAATTTAGCTGTTTCAGTTTCTCACCTCAGAGCTAAAGTTCGTGTTGACATGAAATGATGTCAGGTGGAGAAGACTGGAAATGTTTACAGAGCTGTGAAGCAATCCACACGGACATGACTTGCATGTTTAAAGCATGTTAAATACTGCAGGAGCCTCACCAGCTGCACACTGGAGATATAAAACTCAATTTTTATAAACCTAACGAGACTGAAAGTGAAGAGAGTTCAGATTATTTCAAGATTTAAAATGAACAAAGCAACCCAATGTTGAGTTCAGAAGTTTCCATCCATTCCTCCTGGCCATGATTTTGAGCTTTTAATGATTTTCACTGGAAACATTTTGGTTCCAGAGTAAAACGATCACAACATTCAGCATCAGGGATTTTTAAAAACAATTTGATGCACAAGTTTGGATTTAATCTAGATTTTCTCTATTATATTATACATCCGGACTCAAATATGTTTT